GCCTTGCTTAACCAATGAGAAGCATCTGAGTGGTAAATGAGTCCATCCCCCCTCTGATGTAGACACCTAGAAAGCTGAAATGAATGGCTGGAAGGAGGTAGTGATGGAGAGGGGATCAGCCTGAGGAATGAGGGAACCCATGGTACAAGTCTATGATTTTTCTCCTCACTGTCTCTTCCTTACTTCTCTGCCCATTCACCCTTTTCACAATGCAGACCTGGCTCATCTTTTCTAACTGTACTGTTCATGTGAGTATTTAAAATGTTCTATAGTTCAATGCACCTAGATCTCCCATGAATATGTAACATTGCCTCTTTACCCTGACCCCAACAAATTTCTTCTCAGAACTCTTTCTTCCTTTCTCCACCCTTCAAGTCTCCCCACTCTTTGGGCTACACAAGAGATCCTATGATGCCTCATAAGTTCACAAATTCCTCGCAATGTAACATCTCCCCTCTCTGAGCTCTATGACAATTTTACCTATGTCTACCAATGATGCTGCACACATCTTAATTGTTCATATCACTTATTCACTGAACACTTGCCATGTAAGCATTTTGCAACCACACTCAAGGCAGAGATCACTGGTATTAATGTGATGATTAATGGTTAAGGAGTACTAGCACTTGTGTTTTGTTGTCCTTAGCTGGCTGGCTGGCTGGTTGGAGTTAGTTTCTTTTTGGAAGAGGTATGGGATTCTTTTTTAAAATGTATTTTTTTAATTTTTATAATTGTAATTAGATGGATTTTAAATTAGAAACAAGCTTCTTTTACATGTCAGTCCCAGTTCCCTCTCTCTCCTCTCCTCCCCTGCCCCCTCACCCCCTATCCTAACCTTTATCTGCTCCCCAAGGATTGTGAGGCCTTCCATGAGGGATCCTCAAAGTCTGCCATCTCATTTGGAGCAGGACCTACACCCTGCCCCCATTTATCTAGGCTGAGAGAGTATCCCTCTATGTGGAGTGGGCTCCCAAAGTCCATTTGTGTACTAGGGATAAATACTGATCCACTACCAGAGGACCCAGGGATTGCTCAGACCTCCAAACTGACATCCTCATTCAGGGGGTCTGGAACAGTCCTATGCTGGTTTCTCAGCTATCAGTCTGGGGTCCATGAGCACCTCCTTGTTAAGGTCATCTGTTTCTGTGGGTTTCTTCAGCCTGGTCTTGACCCCTTTGTTCATCGTTCCTTCCTCTCTGCAACTGGATTCCAGAGTTCAGTTCAGTGTTTAGCTGTCCTCCTTGTTAAGGTCATCTGTTTCTGTGGGTTTCTTCAGCCTGGTCTTGACCCCTTTGTTCATCGTTCCTTCCTCTCTGCAACTGGATTCCAGAGTTCAGTTCAGTGTTTAGCTGTGGGTGTCTGCTTCTGCTTCCATCAGCTTATTGGATGAAGGCTCTAGAATGGCATATAAGGTAGTCATCAATCTCATTATTGGAGAAGGGCATTTAAGGTAGCCTCTCCATTATTGCTTAGATTGTTAGTTGGGGTCAAACTTGTAGATCTCTGAACATTTCCCTAGTGCCAGAATTCTCTTTAAACCTATAATGGCTCCCTCTATGATGGTATCTCTTTTCTTGTTCTCCTCTATTCTTCCCCTGACTAAATCTTCCTTCTCTCTCATGTCTGGAATTAGGTTTTTTATGTTCATGGGGTTTATCTTAAAATTTTTATATGTAGCACAGGGCTGGCTTTGAACTCATGATTCTTCTGCCTTGGCTTCCTGATTGCTGAGCTTACAAATGTGTGCTAGAACAACATAAAGTATATTCTCTTTCTCTCTCCCTCTCTCTCTCTTACACACACACACACACACACACACACAGCACACCCAAAGAGGGAGGAAGGAGAGAAAGACTGATTCACTTACAAACCCCATTCCCATAAAATAAAATATTATTAATTGTAACTGATCTTGGAGAGCTAAGACAACTTGCCTAAGAGTGAAAAGACAGAAAAGCCCCAGTCTAGGATTATGGACTTTCCATGGTTTCCTCTATGTTTTAGAACTCCAAGGGAACTGTGGTACTTCCACGAAGGGAGAGATCTTGTCTTAGTCATCTTTGTACCCAGTTCCAGCACAGAACAGAATGGGAAGAGGGAGTGACGTAATGAGCACTCTATTTTCAGAAGACAAATCTGGCACCAGTGAGTAGGACGGGAGAACAGAGAAGGCCTGGCAGCTCGGAGAGCAGTGTAGACGCTGTTGCAGTAATGAGTGAAAAATTATGACATGACCAATGGGAAGCCACATCTTAAAAAGGAAGGGAGGGTGGAGGGAGAGGGGGGAGGGAAGGAGCAAATGGACAGAGGAGACCAAGAAGAGCAAGTGAGCAGGAGTTGACAGTCACATGCAGGTGGAGAGAAGCGCTAGGCCCTTTGATGAATAAATACACACTCACAGAGCCAATGTTTCCTGATGTCATCTATACCACAAACTGTTATAAATACTGAGGGTGCTGTGATGAAGCAAACAAGCACTTTGCTCTCATTGAACAACACATTGAAAGATGAGCTGGTTGAGGGGTCTACAGAGGAATGGAACCAATGGGAATCCACAGAGCTGGATGGCAGGAAGAGAAACTGGGGCAGGGGAACACACAAAGAGAGGAGAGATAGAGAGACAGGTTTTGAGGATTTGGATTGCTTGAGTGTAGAGCTAACGGGTCTGAGGTTGGTCTACAGCGTGGGCCTTTGGCTGGACACTTTGGGACTGGAGTTCATGCTTCCAGTTCCAAGGCAGGGTAACTTCTCCAGGAAAACAGCTTTGCTGAGACTCGCCAAGTGCTTGGATGAGATCCGCCTAGACCAGAAGACTATCTACCCACATCTTCACAGCAACTCCTGATCAGTGTTGATTGACAACCAGGCATCCTAGCACTCCTGAGGAGACACTTGGGGTGACAACGGTGTGAGACATAACTGCTGGCTCCTGTGGAGATTTGGCTCCAGCCTTCCATGCTTCAGCAGACAGATCCCCATCTCATAGGCGGTTGAGGACATTAAGCAACTTGTCTAAGTGTTAAGAAGTGCTAACAGCTGGCCCTGCTTCTATCAGATCTCCCACATATAAAAGAAAACATATGTGACAGGAAAAAAAAAAGTGACAGATCTGCTGCCACCCAAGAGTAGACAAAGAGACCAAAATGGTTGGCTTCTCCCAGGAGTGACACAATATGGGTTAACAGGTTTAGGCAAGAACCTTAAACCCTTCTTATGGATCCCAAACCTGCAGAGATCAACATTGCTTTTGGGGGACAAGCAGCAGCTTCATACACCTTGGGTATCAGATGGCCTCTTCTAACAGTGGTATCTGTGGCGATCTGCCTTCTTCATGGTGCTGCAGGGAGTCTGGCCATCTTCCAGCACAGGGTGTTCCAGGATCCATTTTGATTGGACGCCTCATTCTGCCAGGAACATTCTTCTTCTCTCCCCTTCCTGTGAGCTGACCACCACTCAGCTCCTAGCTCTGCCATTTCCTCAGTGAGACCTTTTCCAAGCACCTCAACCCTGATCGATCTTCCAGTCAGAACCCCTTCCCAAACTCTATGTGTTCATCAGGTAATTTACTTACATTTGGCTTCATTTCAGGTATTTATTTTATGAGTTTCTGCCTTAGAAGAGGAGCCGGGTCACCAACATTCTTAGTGCTACTCTAAGTGTTGACCTCCATCCATTGTTGGCATATGTCCTCATTAAAAGGATGGACGTGTGAATGTGTTCCCGAGCAAATGCATGTGCAGGGTGTCCTGAGCAGTAGTAGGCTGGAAATAGACCCATGTAGCCCCAGGACTGCTCTTCCCTCTATAATCTGCTCCCACCAGGAAGCCTGTATGTTCATGTGTGTGTGAGTGCTTGTGGAGGCCTAAGGCCAACCAGCGGCATTGTGCCTCAGAAGCTATCTGCCTTGTTTGTGAGACAAGCTTTCTCACTGAGACCTGGAGCTTGCCATTCTTCAGGCTAAGCCAGCTGGCCAGTGAGCCCTGCCTCTGCCCCACCAGCGTGTGCAAAGATGACGAGCACAGTTACCACACCTGGCATGGGGGGATGGGGATCAATCTTGGGTCCTCAAGCTTGTACAGCAAAAACATCATCAACTGAGCACTCTCAGGCCTGGTCCTATCCCATAGACTGCTAAGTCATCCTCAAAATTTGAGTTCACCTGCCTTTCACTTCAGTTTATAGGCTGGTTGCTTCCTGAACCTCTCTAGTTAGCTACAGTACTTGTTTATGGAACCCAACAGATCCAGACAGGGATGGAATGTTCTAAATGAGCCTTCCCACTCCAAACAGAAAGTTCTGGCTCTTCTTGACCCAGGTGGGAAGTTCTAACACCTCTACCCATGGGGAGTGAGAAATCTTTTGATGCAAACTGTCCACGGAGTCTCCAAGCCAGCTCCTGAGCCATATTGGAAGTTCAGATAGGATGTTATATACACACGCCCATCCCCTGACAGACTGACCAGATCTTATAGAAACTGGCATTTGAGACTGACAACCACAGACTCTTTCACATCATCCTCTTACTTGACAATCACCAGGCCACCAGGACAGCTCAACATGTCCTTTGTGTGCCTGTTTCCAGGAACTCCTGTGACCTTGTCTTAGACACCCATACACCAATTGAAATCAGCCTTTACTTTGCAGTTGTCTTCCGATTGTGGCAAAGTAAACTTTCAGGGAAGGGAACACAAGCCTTTACCAAGTCATCCTGCAGGAGAGTGTCCCCTCTTGCATTCTTGCCACCAAGGGAGGGGAGCTCTCTGTTTCTGTAGCCGCTACCTTTTAAAAAAAAAAATCTTGAAAGAGTCTGTTGCAAACCCTATGGGGCACTCTGTCAATCCAGGCAGATCTGAGGTCAGTTAGCAGAAAACAATGCTTTGGTCCAAGAGTCCTATCTCTGGCACTTGTCAGCTGAGGGAGCTGGGACAGGTCAATGGGCTGTAGCAGTCTAGGGCATGCCTCAGTTACCACTGCTCTAAGGTGTATGGTTCTCATTCCAGGCATCTTTTCCACAAGTCCTGTGTTGACCCCTGGCTTCTAGACCATCGCACCTGTCCCATGTGCAAGATGAACATTCTTAAAGCCCTAGGGATCCCGGTAAGCACAGTACAGCCTATAGCCTTGTCATGTCTGTCTTTTCACATCACCACCAAAGCAGGAAGAAAGCATCTTCCCTGGATTTCCCACGTCCCCTTGTTGGCATTACCCAGTGACCTCTGTATTCAAACAACCCTCCTGTCACCTTTGCTCTGTCTGACCACTCCATGTCCACCATTTGTCTGTGAGTCAAGGAAGGTGCTGCTTGCATAGCTCACAGGCATCTCTTCAAGGACAGGTGAGATGCAGAAGACATTCAATGGGTCAGTTGAACACTAATGACCTCTTTGGTTACCATGACTGCTTTGTCCTTAAGGAGATCTACATGCCACCATTTGGGTGCTTGCTGCCTCCTGATCACCAAGCATTCAGGGGGAATAGTCCCTCCCACCCATGGGAGGAGATGAGCAAGACCAAGAATATCAATCAAAGTGTCTGCTAAATTCACATCTATGCAGACTTTGAGCAAAGAGGAAGTCAGAGTCAGAGCCACTTAAATCCAACCCTGCCATCAGCTGCTCCTCAAAGTGATGTGTTCTCTGACACTTAGTGACTCCCTAGGTTCAGAATCCTGCCAGCTGGCTTGATGCTCCAGGGAAAACCTATCCCAGGATTGTATCAAATGAACACCACAAGTGGCAGTTAATGAGACCCCAGCTGCTGGGTGTCGTCCTCTCTGGGCTGATGAGGACAAGAAGGAAGCCAGACCAACAAATGCAAGAAGTCCAGGGGGAGACAGACATGAGGAAACTATAGGCACTGTCTAAAAGGAGCCTCCAAACCCAACACAGAAACCAGATCAACCCTGCCGCCTCCTTGCTCCCACCTGTCATTGCCACTCCTAGCTATTGTGACAGGCAGTAAAGCGAATGCTAATGGTCCCAGGATATCACTAGAGGATGAGGGCCAGATTACGTATCAAAGTGTCTCTCATGCCAAAGGGCTAATTAGAACAGTGTGCCCGAGAATGTTCTAAGATCCTGCCTTAGCTGGCTTGGCTGCCCTCTGCCAGCTGCCTCAGTGGCAGCTGATCCACCAAACACAAATCCACTCAAGAGACTGGAGCTTTGAATTAGATTGTAGACACAGTATATTTAATTTTTAGACCACAGTTGTCATACACAGTGCTTTCAAGGCTCAAACCACTCACAGTGAGTCAGGAACACGAGAGGATGTCCACATCTGCAGGGACTGGTGACTGCCTTTCACGTTTCTGGCTGTAACTGATTATTTTAAGGAAGAAGGAGAATGTGTTCATGTTTGCTTGCAAGTGTGTTCGCATGCATGGATGTGTGTGCAGCTGAAAGTGTACACGAGCGTGTCTGTATTGCACATGTACATTGTGTGCTTGTGGGTCTTAATTAGGTTTGTTTTCTCTGCCAGTTAAAGAACCAAAAAGCAGGAGATATCTGAAGCAAAACAGGAGGCAGTGAGAAATCTCAAGCTGGGCAGACAGAATCAGCTGTTGGAGGAAGGCATTTATTGGGAGTGAAGCAACACATGCAACAGCAGACATACAAAGAAAATACCCTCTGCACCACAGAGCAGGGACTAGAAAACCCAAAACTCCAGTCTCTTCTCCGGGCTTGGGGGTTTTGGAGCCTCTAAAGAGCTTACTACCCTACTTTAGGGTTGGTCAGTTTGAAGACAGATAAGATGGTTGGTTGGTCCACAACTGCTAAGTGATAATGTCTGACCTGACCATCCAACATCAGGGGGCCTGCTGGTGGGAGACAAATGCCATAGGAAGATGCTCCAGGTCAGAGATGATGAGACACCATCTGCTGGGTGTCATTCTCTCTGGGCCAATGAGGAAAAGAAACAAGCCAGGCCACCAAATCCGAGAAGACACAGGGAGACATGAGGAAAACATAGGAGGAAAAAGCTGGCTGTCTTGAGATTCACCGTTTATTACCAAACATGGTCCCTCTCCCTATCTGCCTGCCTACAAGGGAATCTAATTCCTAGTCTCTCACTTCCATACATGCATGTGCTCACATGAATGTGTGTATGTGAGTACTTTTGTCCATGCATGAGTGGCTTTTCATGTGTATAAGTGTGTGCTGACATGTGTGCATGTACGTTCTTTCATGTGTGCAATGTGAGCTTGCATGTATGTGCTCACACACATGTGCTTGCATGCATGTGGATCATTTCACATATTTCCTGTGCCTCAGGGAAGCTTCCCAGCCTTCCTTACAGTCCTCCTCCCTTTGGTGGGGACAAGAAAGCAAAGAAACCCTTGCTCTGTGCTTAAATTTTGAGCTGAATACTTGATTCCAGATTTTTTTTTTTCCCATGGAAGCACAATTTCTCCAGAAGCTACTTCTAACTGAATTCCAAATATTGATGTTAATTGCTTCTAAAATAGAAATACTGAGTGGCCTTTTGGCTTCCTTCCAAACTAAATAACGTTTTAACTTTTAGCAGTTGAACACTCTGGCTGGAACTCCAATGCCTGACAAGTCTGTGTGAGACTTTACTTAGCACACTCAGCTCCCAGAAAAAATAAACATCAGTAGCATCTTTGGGCTTTGCCAGGGATTTTAAAGAGCCAGCTGAAGAACATGACACATCCACACTCACCCCACAGAACAGAACGTCCCCGCGAAGGAGGCACATGCAGCGTGTGCCTGTAGGGAAGCATCAAGGCATATGGCCACGTTTCTGCCTCCAGGGCTCTTTTGTCCTGATGAAGACAGATTCAAGATCTGGGAGGAACTTAGGGTTTGGTTCCATCCCATCATGCTATTATCAGACAGCGCTATGCCTAAAATGCATCAATGTAGTAATTGTTTCTTTCTTAAACTTTGGATCAGCACACAGCTGTGTTAATTAGGAAACATTTCTTTATACCGACACTTTTTAAAGGCATTTTAAAGAAATGATCTTAATTTTCCCTATACTCTCAATTCAAGTTTAATTTAGTTTACTTTACTACAGAATCACCCTAGACAGGCAATCCAGGCTCGTCTCAAGCTTGTGATTCTCCTGCCTCCAGCTTCCAAGAATCTCTGGAATTCCACTCTGTTCATCCCCGTACTGGACTAAGGGCCCAGGACGGTTGGGGAAGAACCCGTTTCTGCGCTCTGGTATCTGTTGGTCCTTCACCTCTGGATCCCCAACTACTCTGAGTGCTCTTGTAGAACTTGGAGTCTAGAATGCAATTGATCTCAAAATCACATTTATGAATTACACCCCAAGTCCCCTTGCAAGAGTGTCAACTCACGAATGACGTTGTGATTTTGACCCATGTGACTACTCAAATACAGACAGTTTAGGTGTACTACAGTTGTTTGTATTTTTGCTATTTTTAGCTCAGTGCATATGTACTACCTGTGGTAATTGACAAATAAACATAAATCAAAATCCAAGAGCTGGGGACAGCATTTTGTATTTTGTACTTTCCCACAATGGGCTAAACAAGAGTACACTTCATGATTGATGAAATCCTCATAGCAATGCACATTTTTCTATAACATTTTCTCAAAAGAAATCTTAAAGGGAGAAGGAAGGGTTCTTTTTTATTTTTCTTTATTTCTGAGAACTTCATACGTTTATACAGTGAAATACAGTGCAAGAGTTCATTATTTCCAGAAGTTTTCTAACCTTGGCCTCCATTACAGTGCCTCATCCCCCACCTACCCATCTGGTGCAGGTGTCTCTTACAGAACGGTAGTTTTTGTGAGTCCTCCTCCCAATTCTCACAGGACCCAGCAGTTGAGGCAAGTAAACACCTCCCACCATCATTGTTCTCCAGATGTGAACAGGATGCCAATCACCATTGAACGGGGAGCTAGTGAAGGCACAGCTTCTAATTATTAGCCATTGATTTATCTGGGGACTTTTCTCATGCTACCTGAATTTCAGTGCCTAGACTAAGTAGGTTAGCAGATAGCCTTGGATATAGTCCTTAAACAGTAAGCCTTTGGCTTTTTTCAAAAGGCAGAAAAATTTCTGATTATCCATGTAGATTGACTATAAATTGGGAGGTTCTGGAAGGCTGATCCATTTCCTGACGCATCCAAGCCAAAGTTGTTGTACCTGTTGCCATTGATATCTTACTATCTCTCCTCCATCTTCTTCGTGAAGAAGAAAGCAAAGTTTCTCCTGACCCACAAAATAAGAATTTTGTTAACATGCACTGTACCAAAGCCCGAGCATGGAAAAGAGAATCACCAATGTAAACAAACACAGTCACAATTTCAAAGATTGAACAAATCATTGCATATGCATGCACTGGACTGTTTATGTTTGTGACATGCATATCTCAGTTTTGCACAGAACTTTATAGTCCTTAAAGTATTTTCTAAAATCCTACTGTCATTGATCTTGGCAAAAATCTTACACACCCAATTTTGAGAGCAGAAATCTGAGACTCGGGTAAAATACTCAAACCAATATTTACTGAGCGTCTAATCATTGTGACATGATGTGGAAGCCTGGGAATCAAAATCAAGATGATGTGGATGTTCATTGTGACTCTTGTCAACAGTGGCAAGAGAACAAGACATAGACAACTAGCCACCAAACCCAAGTGCCACATGAGGCACTACAGGATCAAAGGCCACTGCTTGGGAGGAGCCCTACCTAGAAATGGTAACATTGTTAAAGAGTGATCAGCAACCACCAGGGATCAGTTTGAAACGGAGGACAGTATCATATGTCATCCTAAGCAGAGGTATTGTATAAGAGGAACCACTGATCTAAGGGAACACGTGTTTTCTGTTTCCAAAGGCTGATGGTGAGGACAGAATAACAAGCTGGACTAAGCTTACAGTGTGTTTGGTCATGCTGACTCCTGTACCCTGTTCCTTACACAGAGAGAAGACCCATGCCTCTGCTGTAGTTGTTTTGCTGTGGTGCTGATGGTGGTGATGACCGATACGGTGTTGATTTGATGGAGGTGTTGCTGGAGATGTTGATATTCTTATTGTGATTGTTGATGTTGTGGTTATTGGTGTTGTGGTTTTTGGTGATGTGTTTCTTGCAGATGATGTGATTGTTCACATTGTGATTGGTGTGGTTGTTGATATTGTTACTGTGGATGTTGTGGTTATTGGTATTTTAATTATAGATGCTTTGGGTGTTGGTGTTGTTATTGTAGATGCTGTAGGTTGTAGGTGTTGTTACTCTAGATGATGTGCTTGTTGGTGAGAGAGCACAAAATAGAGAAGAGACTAGATAAGATAGAGAGACTGCTAATGGGGAGAAAATGTTGATAATAATGACTGTTGCCATTCGAAGTCAAAATCAACAAGTTTAGTCAACAGTGAATCACTCATTCTATAAACTATCTTCCGGCAAGTGAGTGTTGGTGAATTGACTAACTTCAGACAGAGATGGAAAAAGCAGAGAGACAAGAGCAAGGAGAAAAGACATGAGTTGCTTTGAGGAACTGGAGGATGGTGGCAGCAAGTGCGAGTGTGATCTCAAGAAACGCACACACAGCTCTGCAGATCTCCTCTTCAGGGCTCCTCACTTGCCCCGATTTACAGGGCTCTGATTTCAATGACTGTGAGCATCAATGTGGTGCTCATTGAATACAAACCTGGGATTCCCTTTCCTTGGCCTTGACTGTCATGCTCTGCAGAATCTGGGAGCAGGAAGTCATGGAATCATCATGCTTCATGACAAAGAAGCCAATCTACAAATCAGACAAACACACAGAGAGAGAACTTCATAGCAAGTTCAGGCAGCCAAGGCTACATACTGGAAATGGAGTCTCCAATAATAAAAAAGACAGAGGTCCATCTGGAAGAGAAGGGGAGTAATGGATTTGTCTAATGTGTGACTAATCCCATGTTGAGTGCATTGAAATATTTTTCTACAGCTGACTTTTGGCTTATATTTTTTTAAAAGTAGCCTCAGCCTCTGTGTGTGTGTGTATGTGTGTATGTGTAAGTGTGCATGTGTGTGTGCATGTACATGCATGTATCTTCCCTGTATAATTCCCAGTGAGTAAGACTCTGCTCCCTCTCACTTCCATATCATGTTTATAAACAATGCATGAGACTGACAATAATTAGCAGGCTGCTGGCTCCATCCTGTGTGGGGGAATAAATTCTCTATATAAAAGGAAGTCCTAGTTTTATCATTATAAATAAAGATCATGTATTCATCCTAACTAGTTATCTAAATGTAGAGATTTTGGTACACTTGAAATTAAATACATTTATATCTAAAAGGAACCTTTAGAATGGAAATGTGGGATGATCTTCTCATGACAATAAAACTAATATATATGTGTGCGTGTGTGTGTGTGTGTGTGTGTGTGTGTGTGTGTGTGTACATAAAAACATTTTTAATAAAGCAATTAAAAACAAAACAGTGAAGCAATGGGTTTAATTTTACATTCAGACAAAACATTTAGGCTGCACACATTGCATTTCTAAACCAAGGATATGCCCTAAGATGGATCCTTTTTGTCCCCTCAGCCCAATGCTGACTGCATGGACGACTTGCCCATTGATTTTGAGGGCTCTCTAGGAGGCCCACCAACCAATCAGATCACAGGCGCCAGCGACACAACAGTAAATGAAAGCTCAGTCACTTTGGACCCTGCTGTGAGGACAGTGGGAGCCCTGCAGGTGGTCCAGGACCCAGACCCTGTGCCACAGGAGGGAGAAGCCATCTTTACAACTAACAGTAAGTACTGTGTTTCAGAGGATCATCACCCATGGAGTTATTGCCTCACAGGGATTAGAGGACAAGTAACATTGCATATCATTGTGTGATGGTTGATGTTGTCAACTTGATAGAATTTAGAATTACCCTAGAAGACAAGCCTGTAGACAAGCCTGTGAAAGAATATCTACATTGGGTGAGTCTGGGCACACCTGTGAAGGCCTGTCTACATTAAGTTCATTGATGTGGGAAGGCACTCTTTATCCATGGGCAGCACAGCTACGGGGGCTGGGGTCTTAGCTGAATAAAACGGAAGCAAAGAGCTGGACAATAGCATTCACTGATCGCTGCTTTCTGGCTGTGATGGCTTCTGACATCAGAGGGCAGGTAAGAGAAATAAATGTCAGGGACATAGCTGCTACCTCCATTGTCTTTGTTGTACATGGGCAGGTAAAGGAGGGTGCTTGAGCCTCTTGAGTGTGTGGGTGTCTATAGAAGCTGGTCTGACCTATGTGCAACAGCAGCTTTCCCATTGCTGGGGACTCGGTTGTATACAGCAATCTTTGTTTTATTTTATTTGCTTAAAACAGGATCCTATTATGTTGCCTAGGCTGACCTCAAGTATCTAAGATGGAGCTGCAGAGTAGCTTGGACTACAAATGTGTGCTGTTATTATGGCATGCCTTCAGGTGGGCATTTTTAGGTTGTTTCCTGGCTATTTCACGTAGATAGTCACTAAGTCCTGTGCTGTTCACCAGTAATTGTCATGGAACTATTTAAATATCTGTAGGAGACTGAAACTAAAATCTAAAGCACCTACTATTTAGTCAAATATAGTAAGAGAGAAAAGCCTTAGGAGTTCTAAGACATTCAGCATACAAATTAACTGAGTTAAGTTTAAAGTCAAAAGAGTGGGTAGATGATGCCATTTTAAATAAAGTATACTTCCTCTTGGTAGAAGCAACATATTCACTATGGAAAACTATAAAGGCAAATTGAATCATCTTGGGTTCTTTCCATTGAAGTCAACTTCTTTCTTATATATTTGTGATTTTCATAGAATCTATAAAAATATGCTAAGGTGTAAAAACTGGTATTTTTCTGATTAACTATAGTCTTAATTATTGGAAGATTGAGAGAGAAAAAATTTCAAAGAATATAGTTACTTTTAATAATATGCTTTATTTTATTTTTATTTTTTACATGTATTGTTTGGGGTATTGGGGTGTGTCCGCGTGTCACAGGGCATATGTGAAGGTCCCAGGAGACCTTACCAGAGTTAGTTCTTTCCTTTCACTATGTGGGTTCCAGGGATCAAACTCAGCTTGTCAGGCTTGGTGGCAAGAACTTTGCCAGGTGAGCCCTCTCACCCGCCCACTCTGCTGTATTTGCTGAAAGAGTGAAGACAACCCTCAGATGTCAGCTGTAGAGCACTCTAACTTTAGGATGCCCACAGGACTTCCACAGAAGTTGCATGAGAGGAGTTTAGTGTCACACACCATGCCATCATCATTGATTGTCTTTACAAAGAAGAGCTGGAATTTCGAAAACTTGACTTTCATGGTGTAAGAATATCAGGTTGAAACACTGAGCAGTAGACATTTGAGATTCCTTAGAGACTGATTCGATCCCGTTGTTTTCACAGTACTGATGTCATGGAAGCCATGTATGTGATGTGGTGTGAATTGTCTAATAGCATAGTACCCAAATATAAATAGGTAATGCTCACTCAATTAATATACTTTATTTAACCAAATATATCCAAAATATTTTGTATTCTTCTTTCTAGTGGTTGCTCTTCAGAATATAATATAGTCCATACTTCCCATGTATTTGGTTTTAGGCCAGCTAGCCACATTAGAATTCCTTGGTAGTCCTGTATGACAAGTGGCTTACCATAGTGCTGCCCATAGATAGAAACTCTCAGTACTATAAAAGAACCCTGAAGATTGTTAGCTCCTGTTTTTGTTTGTTTGTTTTGTTTTTTGAGACAGGGTTTCTCTGTGTAGCCCTGGCTATCCTGGAACTCGATTTGTAGACCAGGCTGGCCTGGAACTCAGAGATCGGCCTGCCTCCACATCCAGAATTCTAGGATCAAAGGCATGCGCTGTCACCACCTGGTGGTGTTTTTGGTCAGAATAAGCTTGTAATTTTTGCCACAAGAAAACTACAGCCCAGAGGAGTGAATGTCTGACCCAGGTCCATTATGTTGCAGTGAGCCAGCGGGGCTTGTGGTTTTCCTATTAGTGGTATCTGCTGTCACCTTGGAAGGCTGGGCACTAAGAGACTCAGTGAGGAGCATGGAAGGCCTGGGAGAACCTTGCCAGCAGTCCAAGAACATCCAAGTCCATGTAGGAGGAACAAAACAAAAACCGGGCCATTCTCTTTGCAATATAATGGTTGTTGATTGACCAAGACAGCAAATCACCTGCTGCATGCCCTAATAGAAAAACTTGTTGCACATTTTTCACAGACCTCAATTAAACCCAGGTGACCAATGAAAAAGCATTTTCATTTAATGTGGCTAAATATCATCTAAAACGAAATAGGTATAAATACACTGTGGGCTAAAAGCCACCCACAACAAAATAGAAAACTACAGTCTCTGGCCAGGTGACCCATAATCCTTGAGCTCTTTGAGTAAAATAGAATTGGGTGTGCAGGTCAAAGCAGCCTTTTTCCTGGGCCATCTACTTCTGATCGGTTTTATTTATTTGGATTTAACAGAAATGAACAAGCAAAATGGCTATAGATGCCTTAGGGGGAAAATTCTCTGTAAAGATTTTCAAATTTTCCAGCTTCATCTTCAAACAAATCAGTTAGTGAGCAAACATAAGCCTGCTACTGAATGCCCTATGATTCCAGTTCTCATCAGCATCATTTTCATCAGCTTTCTGAGGCTGTCTGATTGTTGGGGCTCAGTGTAGATGGTTGGTGTCACACTTGTTGTTCAGTGCAGAGGGCCATGGATATGGCTCAAATTCAATTCCCAGAACAACAACTAGCAGAATGGAGATGGGGACATTGCTATAAAACACAAGCAAAAAGTCAGATGGAGACCTTGGTATCAAATCATCCTCTGTCCTTACATCTCCACAAACCAGGGAATACAGAAAATGAAGAACGCACAGCACTTTACAGATGTGCAGCAACAGACCAGCTGTCACCCTGTGAAGCCTGTTTCATATAGTCACTCCCAACAGTCTTGTGAGGTAAACTTTATTTCTATCCTCCTTTCACTGATGAGTATGTGGAGGCCCTGAGAGATGAAGGGTTTCACACACTAGTGCCAGGCGCATCTGGAACTCAAGCCAAGCTACTGTCTAAGGATATACAGGGGCTGGGGAATGCATCCTGGCTTGCTCACTTTTCATTTAGTACAATTATTCACTTCTTGCCACTTCAAATCTCCCCAAAGTTCCAAACTTTGCTCAGTTCCAAGTAACACCATCCTTCCTACCTCCCTTCCAGTTGTCCTCTCAGCAAACAGAGCTGTCATGCTGTGCTGGGTCCAGTGCATGGCTATCCTGTCAGCACTCACTTGCAGCAGGAAGGTGGAAGCAGATTGCCACTGAAGATGGGAAAATCTGGTGTTACGATAAATCTTTCCTCCAAAAGCCGCCAGAGCCCTACCACCACGTGGATGGTCTCCGCCAGCCACCTGAGTTCTGCCCACCACATGGATGGACAAAATAATACAGAGACTTATATTAGGTAGAAATACTGCTTGGCTAATTTCTCATCTGCTAGCTCAGTCTTAATTATCATAAATCAATATATTTTATGACTTATCAGACGCCTTCCATTGGTGTCCTTATCCCCGGGATCACATGGTGGCTCCAAACAGAGAGCAGGAGGAAGAGCAAAGGGGAAAAGGGACCACTTCCTGCTTATCCTTCCTTAAATATGAGTCTCCCTGCTATATCACTTCCTGCCTGGATCACCACTTCTTTACTACATTTCCCAGAATCCTTCCGCCTAACTTGCTGCCTCATTGGCCAAACAGTACTGTATTCAACAAACAATAAGATGAACATACACAGAAGTACATTCCCCAACAATCTGGCATTAAGGGATCACATTCAGCTCCCTTAAAAGGGAGAGAAAGAAAAATAAATCATTTACAAAGCCACGAAGTGCCTAGCTTGCAATTCTGGCACCAGGAGGAAGGAGCCCCCATTTTCTACTCACCGTCTATCTGTTGTCATCTTGACATAACAGTCTGCATCACATTCTCCTCAGCCTCAAACCCTGTGGATGGCTGCTCAGATGCTCCTTCAGCACTCTCTACCTGCAGGCTGGCCATGCCAAACCCTGGCCTGACTCCCAGGAACTGAGTGCAGATGGTTGGGATTGCTTCCACCGGGGAAAAGGGTGTCTTAGGGACAAAGGGAAACACAGCTAAACAATCATCCCCAAGTGTTTGGAGACTCTAGAGGGGAGCCAGAAAATGATGCTGGGGAAGAAGACTTATTGCACCTTCCCAAATCCCCCGAGCTCCAGTTGGCATCTTCTCAAGAAATTCTGAAGTCTTTCTTTTGTTTTTCAAGAAGGTTGTTGATTCCACAATCTGCTTCCTTCTTTCCCTGGTGAAACACTCCGAAGGCCCATGAGAAAGCTCTGCCTAAGGCATGCGGTGCACTGCTGTAGACACCACAGCCAGCCCAAGTGGAGAAGGATAGAGATGGGCAGAATCACCAAATCTCAGACACCCAGAACATTCGGAGAAGCACTTGGCATGACCAGGAGCGTTGGTCTTCAGGCTTCACAGAGGGAAAAAATCCATGAGAGCAAGTGCAGAGGCTAGAGGCACTTGGCCAACTAAAGCAAAAGGTGACAAGGCTTTCCTCTGGAAAATGCCCTTTGCTAACTTCCTGTTAGCCTTGATCTATTGAATACATATGGCCTATAACATCTTCATGACACATTTTAATTTTTGTTTTACTGGTGAATAGAATGTACTACATGAGTATGCTGCCCCACCCTGCCCCACCCTTACCCCTGGAAGAGTATTCCAGTAG